AATAAGCGCTTCTTTAAAGTCATGAGCCGGACTTTATGGCTAATCAATCAGGTGGACGCTCAATCAAAGAGTGGGAACCCCTTTCATACATCATTCTTCTTTTGTCTCCAACTGCACCTACATCACTGATACACTTGTCAGGAGGGTCATTAAAATTAGCAATAAACACATCATTTTTATCTGGCTCCTTAACAGAATCTACTCTAAACACATGATGAGTAAATGCAGGGCATTTGTAATTTTCAGAAAAAGTGAACTCCACAGATTCTTCTCCAATATGAAATTTTAAACTCTCTTTTTTAACATCTATAACACCACCAGCTGTGGCTAGAAATGGTCGACCTAAAATAATTGGTACATTAGCATCTTCTTTCATATCTAACACAACAAAATCAACAGGGATATTAAATTTCTTCACTTTTACCAGCACATTTTCCAAAATTTCTTTCGGATGAGTTATGGATCTATCAGCTAACTGCAAAGTGATGTTAGTTGGTTTCAAATGTTTCAACCCAAGCTGTCTACAAACAGATAAAGCCATCAATGAAACACTAGTACCTAAATCACATAAAGCTTTATCAAAACAAACATCACCCATAGAAATAGGAATAGAGAAACTCCCTGGATCACTCAATTTTGGAGGCAACTTTTTCTGAATGACAGCACTACACTCCTCAGATAGTGCAATTGTCTCAAAGTCTTTCACTTTCCTTCGGTTGGAGATGATCTCCTTCAAGAACTTCCCATACGCTGGAATCTGAGCTAAAGCATCTGCAAAAGGAATGTTAATATGCAATTGCCTAAAAATTTTCAGAAATTTCTCAAACAACCTATCTTGCTTGGTCATATGGAGTCTCTGTGGAAAAGGCACTGGTGGAACATAAGGTTTAAGCGGTGGTGGCACATATATCTTTTCTTCCTCTTGTTCCACTTTCTCCACTTTTTTTTCATTAATCTACTTACTCTCTACTTTCTTCTCATCAGTGGTCTCATTCACTTCAATAGTCTTTGGTTCCTCCTTGTCACCCAACTGCTTCCCACTTCTCAACATGATAGCACTACAATTTTTACGAGGGTTGATTTCAGACTTACTTTGCAGTTGACCTTGCCCACGAGTATTCATGGCGGAGGCCATTTGACTCACTTGCATCTCCAAGGTTCTATGAGCAGTACTCAATTGATCTAACCTTGCTTCTATTCTGTTAAACCATTCAGTGTTTTCACTCAACAATTTCTCTATTCTCTCCAAACTTTCCTCCGTAGCTGTCTTAGGCACGGATTGGTATGACTTTGCTTGGAAACCAGGAGGGTTTTGAGGTCTTGCATTAAAGTCTTGAGCCCCTTGATTATTCCAAGAAAAGTTTGGATGATTTCGCCAACCAGGGTTGTATGTGTTGGAGTAAGGATTGTTCTGCTACTGAGGCTTGCTGAAATTAGAGACATATTGTGCACTTGCCAGTTGCATACATTCAGAACTCAAATGAGGACCTCCACAGAACTCACAGACAGTGGCATGGAAGACTGCATTAGCATTTACAAGATTTCCCATCGCCTTGGTCAGTGCATCTATCTTTGCGTTCATGGCACTTAGTTCATTGACTTCATACATTCCAGCAGGCTTCTTGGAAACACTTCTCGAGTTCGACCATTGATTTCTATTCTTTGCCATAATTTGAAACAATTCGTAGGCATCATCAATTGATTTATCCATTAATGAACCTCCAGCTGCATCATCCACATTATTTCTTGCAAAGTCTGTCAATCCTTGATAGAAAGTCTGAACTAGAGTACTTTTCTCAATACCATGGTGAGGATATCTTCTTTGTAATTCCTTGAATCTTGTCCATGCAGCATGAAATGTCTCATCATCTTCTTGAATAAACCCAATAATTTGATTTCTCAATTTCGCTGCCTTATGTGGTGGGAAGAAATTAATCAGGAATTCCTTGTACAGCTCATCCCAAGTTGTGATGGAACCAGGATCGCAAGTATTCAACCAATTCTTCGCTTCTCCCCTCAATGAAAAAGGGAAGAGTCTCAGCCGGATTGCATCTGACGTCACACCATTTATCTTAACAGTATCACAGATCTCCAAAAAGTTATCAATATGCACATTTGGATCCTCATTGTTAAAACCAGATAATTGATTCTGCTGCACCATCTGGATCAATGCTGGCTTGAGCTCAAAGGTATTCGCAGCAATGGTAGGCCTAGTAATACTTGACCTAGCAACATTCTCCGTAGGTGTAAAGTAATCCCTCAGTGTCCGAGTGTTTACTCTGTCGCCCATGGTTTCACTCTGATTCTGCTCTTTTCTTAGTTTTGCTTCCTTTCTGTTTGCACGAGCTGTTCTTTCTATCTCTGGATCAAATTGCAAAGTCTCAGAATTAGCACTTTGCATATAAAAACAAGACAAAGATATTTAAAAGAAATCACTAAAATAGCAAGACAATTAAAAAAAATAAAATAAAGTAAAAAAAAAAAAATCTAAACTAATAAAAGAATGTAATCTAAATTCGATATTAGCTGCCTTCCCCGGCAACGGCGCCAAATTTGACAAGCCGTCGTCGCACTAGTCAAATAATAATTACTGACTTAAGACAATTACTAGTAGTAAAGTAGCAAGAAGGGTCGATCCCACAGAGAAGGATTACTAATTACCAGGTATAAATTACTCCTATTATTATCTAGATAAATGATGATCTCAGATTTATAAAATTGAAGACTAAAATAAATAAATAAAATAAAAGCAAATAATATTAATTCAAATAATCAGACAAAGAAAACCTAGGACATTGGGTTCACCTACCGAATATTTGGTTTAGTTCAATTCACAAATATCTGACTTTTAACTTCCATTAATCTCACAACGATTCACCTAATTAAGAACTATTCACTCTCGTGTTATAATCCTCTTACTTAGATTAACCCTATGACTACTCTCGTGACTATAGGGATTAACAAAAGCAAATTAAGACCATTAAGAATCAAATACTGCAAAGGTTATAATCTTACTCTCGTAGCTTACAACCTAAGTTTATTATTCCTACGAACTAATATTAATCTTCCACTCTCGCTACTTCGATTAATATCTTCAGACATGCAAATAGTGGCCAATTACTTACACGAATTAAAACAAGAATAACAAATATTAATTAATGGAAAAATCAAATAATAATGAACTAAATAAACCAAATAAATTCGGTGGCTACACCCAAGCCCTAGATTAAAAGAATTTAGCCACTAAACATTATTAAAAGTAATTCAATAATATTTAGAGACATAATAAAAATAAATAAATTAAATAATTAAACTTCAAAACCCGGAAGATGCCAAAAACCCGCCAAAAACTGCCCGCCGGTTGCTAACTTTGCTTCGCGGCTGCTACTTCGGTGGTTATGTGGATGATGATGCCGCTAGTGGAGGAGATTGAAGGTGGTGATTGTGGTGTGGGTGCTGCGCTAAGGATGATGGAGAAGGTGCTGCTGCTGTGTGTGCGAAGGCAAGGGAGCAGGGTGCTGCTGGCTTTCTCGGCGTGAAGAAGCAGAGGTGGTGATGATGCTGCCGAAGAGAGGTGAAGAGGTGGAGGAGAGTTGCAGCGAGGGAGCTCCGGTGGAGGAGGGCTGGTGCGTGGAGGAGAAGAAGGAGGCTGCGGCGGAGGGAGTTTTCAACCGTAGGGTTTCGGTGAGTTTTCGGTCCAGTTCTCTTGTAAAAATAAATCCCTAATCCTCCTTTTATAGGTTTCCAGCTAAACCCTACTCCTTGAAGAACAAGAAAACTTGTTTCCCAATTAATATCGGGATTAAAATTCTTATCCAATTCCAATCCCAATCGGCCGCACATTCATCGTAACCTTCGGCCAATTTCCAAAGACTTAATTAAACATTCCAAAATTGCATCATTGGCCCTCCAATTCTCTAAACTCATTAATTTCTTCCCCATCAATTGCTCCAATCTTCAATTCTTTCCCATTGAGTTGTTTTTAATTTGATTTTAGCTCAAAACTTCAACAATTCTTCATTTGAGTACAATTCCTACAATTAAAGACAAAATCACATAAATAGCATATTTGTACTCAAAATATATTGCAAAAATCACAATTAGGGATATAATAAATAGGTAAAATATAAGCATATCAAAAACTAAACTCAATAACATGGTTTTGTAATCTAACCTCTTTCAAATAACGATTCCCACATATCTAGAGGCAAGAATGCATCAAAAGCTCCAATTCGCCCTTATTTGAGCTGCAAAAATAGAAAATTCAACTCAGTTCTCGAATGAGAACTATCTGAATTTTTTTTTTCTTTTATAGCACGATAAACTCTGATTCCGAAATCCGAGCCCGTAAGTAACTCGGATTTTTGAAATACGAATTACGGTGGACTCGAATTTTCGGAATCCGAGTTTAGTCAATTCCAGATTTTTTAATTTTTTTTTGGTCTTCCAGTTTATGGCCCATGCCTACTTCCACCAACTAAAATTAAAAGCAGCCGGATTTCCAAAATTCGAATACAGAAAACCGGATTACGGACTTTCGGTTTTTGGATTCAAAAATTTCGCGCCTCGATTTTATTTTTTTCTTTTTTCTTTTTGAGAACTCAGATTTTGTAAATCCGAGTACTACTGTTTATTTAAGCAGTTCAGGTCCTAGACTCCTTATTTGAGTTCAAATATTTAGCGCCTCAATTTATTATTTTTTAATTAAATTCGAATTTCACAAATCCGAACGGCACTGTTCATTTAAGAATTTTTAAAAACTATTATTCAACAAAATTTATTTAATTATTATTTTATTGTTAAATGGAGTCTTGGATTTTTGAAATTCGAATCGTTAATTTTAATCAGAACTCGGATTTCGGAAATGAGATATATTCCTGTCCACAAATATTCTAAAAAATTTAAATTTGTCCACGTTTATTTTAATTAATTTTTTTTGGGAAAAGACCCATCAGACTTCAAACCTGCCGCCCTGACTGAAATCGGGGAAAAAAGAAGCCATGAACTACGATGAAGGCGAATCAGTTTTCCTTGATGAAAACGATATCATCGGGGAAATTCCGATTGATGAAGAAGGTGTTACTTAATTCCTTGTCCTTATCAATTCCTCTCATATAAACGATTACATGAATTATACCTTTACTTTTACTGATGAATTATGCCTTCCCTTCTATTATTTTTTCGCAGAGCTTCCTGACGCAGATGACATTGACGGTTCTGATGCTGAAATTTCGGGTAGCAATTGTTTTTAGTTTCCATCTGGGTTTTGTGGTTATTGTTACTGTTGCCTGAATTAGCTATTCATCTGGGATTTTAAAGTTTACTTCTTTGATCCGTTGTCTTTTTTTTTTTTCTTGAATTTAAAAAATCTGCTTCCAAAAATCTTATCTCTTCTAACGTGTTTATGTACTACCGTATGACTGTTGGTTTCAGATGGACCTGATGACGCAGTTCACATATTTCAGGGTCATGCTGGTAATAATACCTTCTCGACTAGTGTTTTGTATTCAATATTTGATTATGATAAGGATATGCCTTCACCTTCTGAAATGGGTTATCATGGCGAATATTGAAAAATTAGATTTTAGTCCAGGCTCTAATATTAGACAAATAATAAGACAAGAATTTCAATCTGAAAAGTGGAAACTTTTCAGAGAATGGTTCTTTTCTACTTATGATATTGAAAATCAAAAACTTATACAAAAAGAATTTTATGAATATGCTTCTTTTCACAATCAAATAATATATTTTGTTCCGTGGTTTATAATCACTTATCTTGATAAATATATTTTCCTCCTTGAAAGAGAATATCATCTTGCAGATGGAAAAATTACAAAAGGAATTTACCCTCCACAAAAAGAATTTGTTTTAACAAATGCAACTCATATAACTTTTTCTGCCTTTCAAAAATTGGTAGAAAGTGAAGTTTTACCTTCTACTGTTTCTTTAGTAAATAAATTTATTCAGCAAAATAATTATACAAATTTATATGTAAAAATTTTAGGAGAACAAATTAGTTCTTTACATGATAAAGTTGACAAATTATTTTCTCTTATAAACAATCTTCAACAAACAGTTAAACCGGTTTTGATTGAAAATAAAAATAAGGATATTAAAATACAAAATTTTATACAACCTCCTCCTATAGTAAAAGATTATAATCTTGAATCTCCACATGTATTAGAAAAATTATTAGAAGAAAAATTTAAAAACCTTAAATTATCCACTTTAGAATTTTCTGAGAATATACAGAAAGATTTTGATAAAACTTTACGAGATGAAATAAATCGTCTTTCTCATAAATCTAGACATAATAAATTTGCTAATAAACCATATATGAATCACTATTATTACCCTCGACCTTCTCCACAAGATCTTCTTTATGAAGAACATCAAGAAACTACTAATAGTTATAGTAGTCGTTCTGTTTATGAATGGAATTGTGATGCATTTACTGATAGGCAATTAACTAATATGGTGCATAGGATGTTAATGTACTCCTCAGTTGCAAAAGCGAATGGTAATACAGATCAGGCAATCACAAAAATGATTGTTTGTGGTTTTACTGGTGTCCTTAAAGGATGGTGGGATAATTATTTAACCGAAAATGATAGACAAAAAATTTATAATACAGTAAAAATTGAGAATGAAGGAACATCTACACCCATTATGATGGAAGATGCAGTATATACTTTGATAGCATCTATATTAGAATATTTTTCTGGAAAATTTACTAATAACCAAGAAAATATTCGAACATTGTTAAATAATTTTAAGTGTAAAACACTTACTTCTTTTAGATGGTATAAAGATTCATTTTTATAAAGAGTCATGGAATTACCAGAAAGTAATAGCTCTTATTGGAAAGCTAAATTTATAGATGGCTTACCAACTCTGTTTGCTGAACGAATAAGAAAAGTTCTTAGGAAAGATTTTCCTTACATTCCTTATGATGATTATACTTATGGTCATTTAATAGGTGTTTGCACACAAGAAGGATTAGCTTTATGTAATGAAATAAAGTTAAACCAACAAATTAAACGACAACAATTATCAGAACGACGACAATTAGGTCAGTTCTGTGATCAATTTGCTATGGATATTGGGCCAGAAAATAGGGATAAAAGAATGAAGAAAAATAAAATTCCTTATATACATAAAGGAAAACGACGACGTAAAAGAACAAAAGAACAAAGAGAATTTAGAAAAACTAATAGAAAAAATAAAAGAGACATAAAATGTTTCAAATGTGGTCAAAAGGGTCATATTGCCCCTAATTGTAAAAAGATTAATAGAATTAGATTATTAGAAATAGATGAACAACTTAAAGAACAAATATGCAAAGTAATAAAAGAATCAGATACTGAGTCTGAAATAGAAGAAACTAATAGCTCAGAAAATAATATGCTTGAAAATGATGAATATTCATCTAGTTCTTCGGATGAATGTCTTCCATGTCAAAATAATAATAATAATGATTGTTGTAAAAAAGATAATAATCTTTACAATATTATATCTCAATTTCAAGATTTACAATTTAACATGTTAACAACTGATAATGTTTTAGAATTACTAAAACAAATACCAGATCACGATATTCGTGATAAAATAATTAAAATGATAGATGTGTCTAATAAAAAAGAAAAGGAAGTTAATAAAAAGGATATAGTTTTCAATAATAATCCTTATTCAATGCAGGAAATAGAAAAAAGAATGAAAAAATTACTAAATAAAGAAGAATCATCTTCTTCAGTTATAACTATTTCGGATTTACAAATAGAAGTTAATAATATAAAGAATGAAATAAAATATTTGAAACAAAATAACGAATTATTAGAAAAAAGGATTAAAACAATTGAGTATTCACAATCAGGTGAAACCACTATAGTTGATCCACAAACTATTCAGAATTTAGCTGAAAATATATCTGAAGATCATAATTATGAATTCTTAAAAACAATACAAATAATTACATCTCAAAGATGGTATATAAAATTAACTCTAATGATAGATGGGCAATTTGTCTTAAACACTGTTGCAATGATTGACAGTGGTGCTGATTTGTCTTGTGTTCAAGAAGGGTTAATACCCACTCAATATTTTGAAAAAACCTCGCATGCATTAAAATCCGCATCTAATCATACATTAGACATCTCATATAAATTGCCTAATGCTTTTGTTTGTCAAGATAATATTTGTCTTCCACAAACATTTTTATTAGTAAGAAATATGCCAGGAGTGCCTATTATATTAGGACTTCCATTTTTATGTATGTTATATCCACTAAAAGAAGTTAATTTTCAAGGTTTTATAGGAACCTATAAAGACAAATCAATAAATTTCCAGTTTATCTCAGATCCTATAACAAGGTCTATTAGATCATTAATAGAAGCTAAAGAAAAACAATTATTTTTCATTAAAAATGAAATTATGAATTTATCAATACCCGAATTATTGAGTAATACTGAATTACAAGAAAAAATAAAAAATATCACAATACAATTTCAAGAATCAGTATGTGCTGATCACCCAAATGCTTTTTGGAATAGAAAGAAACATTTAGTTAATCTTCCTTATGAAGATAATTTTAATGAAAAGGATATTCCTACTAAGGCAAGACCATGTCAAATGAATTCTGAATATATGAATTTATGTAAAGAAGAATTACATTCCTTGCTTCAAAAGGGTTTAATAAAACCTTCACAATCTCCTTGGTCATGCACTGCATTTTATGTTAATAATGCAGCCGAAAAGGAACGTGGCGTCCCAAGATTAGTAATAAACTATAAGCCACTTAATAAAGTTTTAAAATGGATAAGATATCCTATACCTAATAAAAAAGATTTATTATCAAAATTATATAATGCCAATATATTTTCTAAATTTGATTTAAAATCTGGATACTGGCAAATTCAAATAAATCCTGAGCATACTAATAGAACTGCATTTAATGTACCTATGGGACAATTTGAATGGAATGTGATGCCATTCGGATTAAAAAATGCTCCTTCTGAATTTCAGAAAATCATGAATGATATATTTATTCATTATATGGATTTTATAATTGTTTACATTGATGATATCTTAGTATTCTCTGATAATATTGAACAACATTTTAAACATCTTAATATATTAAAGGATGTTATATTACGGAATGGCTTAGTAATATCTAAACCAAAGATGCTTTTATTTCAACATAATATAAGATTTCTTGGTCATCAAATAAGTCAAGGGAAAATAACCCCTATTCAAAGATCAATTGAATTTTCTTCTAAATTTCCTGATGTTTTCACTGAGAAAATTCAACTCCAGAGATTTCTAGGAAGTTTAAATTATATTTCACCATACTATAAGAATTTACAGAAAGATTTAGCAATTTTATATGATTTGCTTAAAAAATCAATTAAATTTGATTGAATGAAAAGCATACTCAATTAGTTAAGCAAATAAAAGAAAAAGTAAAAACTCTACCATGTTTAACATTAGCAAATCCAAATTGGAAAAAGATAATAGAAACAGATGCTAGTAGCATAGGATTCGGTGGAATCTTGAAACAGATTAACCCTCATGATAATAATGAATATCTTATTAGATATCATTCTGGTAAATGGACAGAACCTCAAAAGAAATATGCAACGGTTGCACAAGAATTTCTTGCTATTGTAAAATGTGTATTAAAATTCCAAGATGATTTATTTAATCAGTCGTTTGTCATTCATACTGATGCACTTGCTGTTAAACACATGATTTATAAAGATTATAAGCATGATTCTTCAAAGCAAATATATGCTCGATGGCAAGCTAATTTAGCCCCTTTTGATTTTGAAATTTTATATAAAAAGGGTAGTGATAATTCTTTACCTGATTTTTTATCACGTGAATATTTGCAGGATGGAGTGGCCACAAATTAATTATCTTAAACCACTATCCGTAATACATATTGCTTATAATAAGATTGTTGCTGAATATAAGCATTGTAGAACGGAATACATTTTTGCAAAGCATAGATTAAATCACTTTTTACGAGTTCGTAATACAATTCTTGATTGTGCCGATGAATTTACATCACCACAACAGATAATATCTGTTTCAAAAGACCTTGAATTTGTATATGATATGATAGAAGACTTCACTGAAAGATTAACTGAAAGTGAAGAAAGGTTGAATTATTGTAAAGCAAAATTATCATTAATAATTCTCTAATTTTACAGGATTATGTATCCGCCCGATAGAGGACGCGGCCCTAATAGAGGTCGTGGAGGAAGAACAATAAACCCTGTAATACAACATGGGAATAAAAAGCTAATAGCTGCTGATTTTTCAAAATCTCAGGAGGAATCCTCCTCATCAAATGCGAAATTGGTCCAAATAATGGATTTTATTCAGAATGATTCTGCATTATATAAGCAGATTATGGATCATATCCAAGAGCAACAAGGTGATACCTTTGCTGCGAAAGTAAGTGACACCGACCAGGATGATATCCGGTCATATGAAAAGGATCCACAAAGGAGGTAATATTCCTTCTTGAAAACGCGATATTCGGTGGAAAAATGACCCATGGGTAATATTCGAAGATATCTAGCAGAAAGGGTAATGATACCGGGTGAGTCATACAAACCCAGAAATTATTATGAGAATATTCTCAAACAAACCCGTGAAATAACACATTTTCAGTCTAATCAGACTACAATTGAAGTTTATAACTTCTCAAAATTATTATCAAAAGATTTTATCTTCGAGGAATGGGAATTTCAACCCTTTCTGAAAGAGAAGTACGTAATACTCCTACTTCTCCTCCTTTGAAATTTACCTACTGGGATTATATTCAAAGTTTTTACAAAACTTTTTATTATGAAAACCCCAGAAAAAAGCATACTTGGTTCATTAAGATATGCTCCCATGTATATTCTTCTCCCATACCCAATTGGTTTATTCAGTGGTGGGCATTATATGGCCCAACAACAAAAATTTTGCCAGATAATTTTTCAAAATTATATTATCAATGGTTAAAATCTTCCCCTATCATTGATAAACTTCAACACAGTCATATCTGTGCTCCAGGAAGAATCACTCTGTTATACTTCTTTATTGAATTCTCGATTCCCTGGAATTATAAATGGGTCCCTGAGGTGGGATTCAATGAATTTCAAATTCCGTGTCTTTATAAGACATATTATACCAAATTTTGGGATAAATTAACAAAAATGAATCACAATACCAAAAGACTGGAAGGACAGGACTTGTTGGACGAAATTGCCCAAAAAATCAAGGAATATACTCAAGACAAAGGACAGCTCAAAGCAAACCCAGATGAAGAAAGTCCGTTCAAACACATCACAAAACGAATTCAGCTTCAGCAAGGATCAATTAATAAGGAAGAGATAATATCCGCCTATATGAAAGAAGTTAAAGCAGATCTCATGAGAAATTTAAAAAATCTCGACAATGATAATATTTCAGAAAAATCAGATGTTTCGATGAAGAGTGTAACTTCCAATGAAGAAAATTCTTTTGCAATATTGGCCGGAGAATCTCAGTCACCAGAAAAAGATGACGATCACGATGAATTCATCAAAAATCTGTTACAGCAGATCCAAGAAACAGCTCAATCAGCCAAAGGAAAAGAAAAAGAATGAAGTGACAAAAGTAGGAATCTACTTTTGAAATTGAAGTGACAAAAGTGGGAATCTACTTTTGAAATTTAATACAAGTGGACCCCACCATCAGTCAAATCTGAAGAAATATGTGTCAAATAATAACAAGAATTAATATTTTTTTTTCAAATAGTATTTAGAAATGTCTATAAATAGCATGTAGAAGTTCATTTGGAGGGCATCATTCTCTCCAAGTATTCTCTCTTTTCTTCTTCCTTTCTCTCGAAAGTCTCTCTCTCCTTGTAAAGAAATCATCTAGTAAATATATCTTTCAAGTTTGAAGAATAGAAGAAGCTTGCAAAGGTAATTTTCATTTAAGTTTATTTTAATTTATAGTTTGAAGTACTCAGACAATGTCTGAGTAAATCCTTTGTCTGAATCAAACATTTGGCTTTTGTTTACATAAATTATACATGGAAGCTCTATCTCCTTTTTCTCTTTTATTTAAAATACGATGATTTGAGATTGGTTCCGATTCCGAGTTCAGTCAGAAAACTCAACAATAAGTGCATTGGGCTGGAAAAGTACCCGTTATGATGAATTGTTTAAGGGGAAAAAGAGGCCACATGATGCACAATAAGTTGTGGATTCCAGACAGGCTTGAGAGTCGGGTGAAATTTTTCCATGCATCTCGATTATTGATATTTTAATTAAGGATGGATAGAGATTTTGATCCTGTAGCTGGCTGACATGGCATAGCTCCTGGATGAATGGTATCAGCCAGGGTGGTGGTTTGGATTCCGGCCTGGTTTCCTTGCTCGTCTGTTTGCCTGGTCTTACCGGCTAAGATAGGCACTGGCCAGGCCCCCAGCCCCAACCTGATGACGCAGTTCACATATTTCAGGGTCATGCTGGTAATAATACCTTCTCGACTAGTGTTTTGTTTTCAATATTTGATTATGTTCCATCTTTTCCTTGGTAATAGGTACCCCTTTGGTTCTACTGAAAATGATAAAGAAATAATTGTTTCTTGCTTGTTGTGCGAAAGACATGATCACCCGTAGATTTGCGTTTTAGAAGTTTGATGATATGTCCCATGTCAGTATCCCTGATCACCAATAGTAGATTTGATTTGCTTTTTAGAAGCTTGATGAATTCTCCATGTCAATATCCACTATGTTCTGTTTCTGCTTGTTTTCGGAGATTTCTGAAGCTTGGGATATAATTTTGGATAATAATATATGAGTGAGCTCTTAGTTTCTGCAATTGCTTAAAATTCGTGTACTTGGTTTCATCTTGTGTGCCTAGTATCATTTGGTTAATTTTCATTTTTAGATGACTTTTTCTCTGAATTATTTGCTCGACTCCAATCATTTTATTTCAGGACAGATATGAGTGGAGGACCATTTCTTTGCGTTGGCAATGCATATTTTCTTCATACCATGTTCTAATGCCCAAGATCTTTTAGTAACTGTTTCTTTTCCATTCCACTTTGCAGATGAAGTCTTCACTGTTGCATGCAGTCCAACTGATCGTAATTTAGTGGCTACAGGTGGTAAAGATGACATAGGGTTTCTCTGGAACATTTGTCAGGGAGATTGGGCTTTTAAGTTAAAAGGTACATAATGAATTATGTTTTTCTTTTTCTTTTTCTTTTTTTTTTGGTCAGTTAGTCGTACTAGTTAGCCTTCTAGGCTGTTGTTAAGCAGCCAGATCCATTATCCCTTATTGCTGTTAGAACAGCTCCTATGTATACTGTACTCTATGCGGAAATTTGAAACCTGAGCTGGCTGTATGCAGGTCATAGTAATTCGGTTTCTACTTTAGGATTCAGCTTTGATGGTCAATTACTTGCATCCGGAAGCTTTGATGGACTAGTGAAAGTCTGGGACATATCGTACCAGAATGTGACATGCAAAACCTTAGATTGCAGAGGACAGCCTATTAAGGTTTATTTGACATTTTATTACTTAATAATATGTTTTTATCTTTCGATGAGTCTGTTGGTTCTGAATGAAAATGATTGTTTACAGTGGGTTAAGTGGCATCCAAGAGGACATTTGGTCTTGACGGGTTCCGAGGATTCCTCTGTATTCTTGTGGAATGCTGACAGTGAGGTTCTCCTTAACATGTTTTTTGCGCATAATACCACCGTTACCTGTGGCGATTTCACCCCAGATGGTAATTCCCTAGGCTTCTCTATTCCCTTCTCTTCTCAGAGTACATGTAAATTTCATCTGCTTTTTGTTGATTGCATTTTGAAGGTAAAACCATTTGCATTGGCTATAAGGATGCCACTTTAAGGATATGGAACCCGAAAGTTGGAGGAATTATCCATGTTGTTGAAGGTGTGAATTTAGTTTTTTGATTCTTCTAATTTCATTGCATCTTTATGAATCTTGATGTAGTGAAATTTGTTGTTAATGGTCTCTTCTTTGAGAGCTATTAGTTGTCAAGGTTGACCGTTCATCACCTCTCTTTCTCTCAGGGCACTTATGAAATTTGTTGACTTTTTGCTGGCATCTTGCTCTTTTTTCTTTTGTTTTTTTAATAGAAATATTCATGATAGAGCATTGGTGTCGGTAAAGTTTTGATTTGTTTCTTCATTCTGCTAAGTTCCTTGCATCTTTATTATTCTGATGTAGTGAAATTCTTGTGAACGGAGTCTTTCTTTGGGAACTATTAGGTTTCAAGATCGGATCTTTACCATCTCTCTTTCAATAAGGGAACTAATGAAGTTTGGTTAACTTAGCGTCTTGCTCCATGGAAATATTTTAAGATAGAGGAGCACTGGTAGTATTAATAGATCGGAACAAACGGATGACAGCACCAACAGGGAAAGTAGTTAATCTAGGACTTTCAATTGAATGCAAGTGTTTATATCATTAAATTCAAAGGATATCTTTGTAAGAGTTGACTAGTTACCTGTTAACTGTTTCGTGATTTTTTTTTTTTATTTGAGTGGGAATCAAGTTTTGAGATGTGCAATTTGTGGCCTTTTAGAGTATTACTAATTTGGTAATTAGTTTTGGTTTGAAATTAGCAAATCACTGGCCTCTGGAGTACTAATCTTTGAACCTCTTGAGTACTATCCATGGGTTGATGCGCGTGTGGCCTCCTTGCTTCCTTAATTGGTCCCTTTTATTTTATTCTTCAATTTCAGTCAATCGTGAACTTCGCCTTATATAGGTTGATATCTTGATGATGCTAGTTCTGTTTTGCTCTAATACGTGATGAACTTTTACATTTAGGATATACTTATCACACTGAGGGATTGACATGCTTGAGTTTAAGTTCTGATTCCACCCTTGCTCTTACCGGTTCAAGTGACAGCTCTGTTCATCTAGTGAACTTAAGAACAGGAAAGGTTTGAGTAGTATCTCTTTCTACTTAAGAATGCACGTTTAGAAGTTTGAATTCATATTTGGTTTATCTAAAAATTTCAGTGGTTTTTATGTACATAGCTAAATGCTTTTCTCTGGTATTTTGGTACAGGTTGTCGGTTCACTGACTAATCATTCTGATTCTGTTGAATGCGTGGGGTTTGCTTCATCAAGGTTTGTCTTGTGACATTTGTCACTCCCCGTTTCTTCCATGTTCTTGTTTGCTCCTATATCTGTAATTGTGAAGGCGATGGACATGGTCCAGTCTTAAACAATACCGAAGGAGAAACTGAAGCATGTAAATATGAAATTTTGAACCAAATAATTCAAAAATACATTTTTGATATCGTTTATATGTTGAGATAATTCATTTTCTGTGAAGAGGTACTTTCTAAGAAATGAAATTATTTTACCTGGAATTTAATTTAGCGTACTTCGAACCTAATTCTTAATTAACCTAGTTTTATCGTTTAAAGTTCCTTTTCTTATACCTGCTTCAACCAAGCATACATTTGAATTAGCTTTGATTTCTGTTTATTTTAGCAGTTATTTCTTTCAACACCTTCCACTTTATGTTCATTCACACTGTTAAGCATTAACTGTTAGGACAAGAGTTTCTGTCCTAGAGCCGTGTCCTCATTATTATAAACTAAGTTACATCATCCTTTGATCTTGTCAGAGTTGAGATGGTTAACATCAGACGTGTTGGCAATGTCAGTAGTAGCCTTCTATACTGTCTTTTGATTGTTAAAAAGACTTAATCTATAGGGTGCAAGTATTTGTTAGTGTTTGGTGCAGAAAATGTAGCTTGTACCCTGACGATTTCACCAAGTTACATCCTCTTGAGGTTAGCTACTTAGCTGTTCTGTCATGTTGATATAACTACCTAGTAGCTTAAGGTACCCTGTTAGCAAGGAAAATATGCAAAGTTGTAAGATGGGGATACTTACAAGGTTGTGTAGCGCTTAGCAGCCCGCGATATGAGTTGTGGGATAAACATATGACAATGGCATCTTGTTATTGTAGCAGTTCGTTGTACTCTGATTCCGTTGTTTTGCCATTGTGCTTCCTGTCAATAGACACCCGGAACTTCTTGCTTAACTGGCTTTTCATGGAAGGATTTCTGTTCCTGCATGACGAAATCTTGCTTATATGATATTCTTTTGGCTGGATGAAACTAATTCTCCTTTTACCGGCAGCTTTCCATGGGCCGCATCAGGGGGCATGGATGAGAAGCTTGTCGTGTGGGATCTTCAGTATCAGAGCGCTCGATGCACCTATAAACATGCGGTTAAAATTAATTTATCACCATTTGTTTAATTTTTTAATAAATTCATGCTACCATTCTTTTAACTTACATTTCTGTTTTTATTTGGCAGAAAGGAGTTTTATGCATGTCCTGGCTGGGTGCATCGAGGTATTTAGCTACAGGTGGTGTTGATGGTAAAGTTCGAATATGGGATAGTCTTTCTGGAGATTGTGTGAGAACCTTCAGCGGTCATAGTGGAGCGATCCAATCCCTTGCTGTGTCTGCCAGCGGAGATTTCTTGGTTTCAGTTTCAAATGATAACTCTGCCCGTGTCTTTGAAATCTCTGGATTTTGCTCTTAAACAGATCCTTTCGGCAGATGCAGGGCTGACCTTCAGGGAATTTAAGACCAGTCTTTTTTAGGTTGCAAACCATAAAAAGAAAAGAACATTGCAGTCAAGAAATGAATTCCCTTGATTATTATCTGGGTAAGTTATTGGCTTTGTAGGGGGATGTTTAAGATGGTTCTTCATGCTTTAGCAAAACGCTTTACCCCTAAAGTTTGTAATACCTGAGTATGGGAAAAAAAAGGTTTATTTTTTAAACATTTTTTGTAGTTTGCTGTGATAAATTTAATATGAATCGCAATTCCCGCCAAATCATCTCAAATTGTTATGGTATTCGTAATGAGTAAACTAACAAGAACAGTTTTTCTTGGTTCTAAAATATTAGAGTCGATGATTTGCCCTCTTTTCTCTTCCTCTCTTTGTAAAAGAACTTAAAGCTATTCACATTATCTGAAGAAGCTTAGGAACTTCCATCTCTATCTCTTCCTCTTAGAACTAGTTCCGAGCACATGTCCTCGGGCATTTTGCTTTCTGCATCTTCCGAACATCCTTTTTCTCTCCCTAAACATGTCTTTCCTGCAACAATTTTACGGCCAGAAACCCTCCAAGACCATTTGTACTTAGACGCTGAGAAAGGAGAAAGAAGGGAGATGGTTTACCACATGCAAACAATTCATCCACTAACAAAATTAAGAATGATTGTGCAAAGGTAAAATACCGTGACATCTAGAGAAGTTATGAACTGTTTCAATTACGGCTACTAGGCCCTAATTCCAGCTTTTTCACCAGTGTCCAAGTCTTCTTGCCATATGAAGTGAATAGACGGATTTACTTTTTAAACTTTTATTTGCATCTATAACTATAGAAGGACCAAAGATGGCCAATATGAGTACCTAAATATAGCCGTTGAAAACTATAAGAATTATAACCAAATCCTTTTCATCTAGGAGTTCTCATTTTCAAGCGTGTGTCATCATTGTCCTCTGTCAAGCTTTCTTCTACTAGTTCTACAATCTTAGCAATGCCTCTGCTTCCTTTGTTGTAAGCCTTTGTTAGCGCATATTTCACAACACCGCATGCCGTCCTTGGGATCCAAGGGGCCCGTGATTCATATGGTGGGAACTCAATACTTACCAATTTTGGCACATTAAATGCCGAAAAGTTAAAGTGTAACATTCTGATGAGAATCATATAACCTTTCATGGTGATTCTCCTAGTGAGGGGAATGAGCTAGTCCATTCTAGTTTTGGAATGTCAAGTTTACTTTGCAGGTCAATCAAGGAAGAAAGGATGGATCTTGACTACCTATGTGATAGAGAGTTGGTTCAAGAGAGCTATGATCGAAACAATGAGAATGTCATTAACTTTGGGATTCAAACCAAAGGAAATGATTCACTCATGGAAATAAGTGCTCAAGAGTTTCAAGGGAGTTTGACTCTAGGTGCTCCATGAAAATCATTGAACAAGCTAGAGAGAAGAGTCATTTAGGTTCTTGAATGGACGGCTTATTTGATCAAAGTGTTCAAGATTGAGTTCATTGCTAATTGGATAGGTTACGAACTATCTCAATTGTTTCAAGTGTTTTTCCAATCTTTTGGGGTCAATAATAAAGAGAATTCTATAATTTTTGGGGTAAATTGGAGTTATCTACAACTTGAGGGGCGTAAGACCAATATTCCACTTTTAGAAGCGCATTCAAGACATTTTACTTCAATATTTTGGAGCTGATTTTCGAGAATTAGAGTATTATCTATTCTAGGAGTTTATTTTTGATTTTATCTAGTTAAATAAGTCATGTGGACTGAATCAAACTAGAGTGTTTTGATTAGGAGTCTTAGATTCCTTCTAAGTATTATCCTATTTGAGGATAAGTCATTTAGATAAGGTTTTCTAGATTTTAGATTGAGTCAAAGAGATCAAATACTCTTCTACTTCTACTCCTGCGTGAGATAAGATTAGAGAGTCCTAGTTGGTATTCTTTTTAGTGCTTTGGCCGAAATTGTTAGCCTATAAATAGGGGAGGAAGGCCGAAAATTAAAGCACCCATGTGTGGTCATTTTGAGTCTTCTCTAATGAGAGTTTTTCCTGTGAAGAATTTTTGTTAAATGGTGTGTCCATTTTTTGTGTCAAGTATGATTTAACCAAGAAGGTTTTCATTTTGTCTTGGATATTTTGATCTTGCAGAAACTGTTCTTTTTCAAGTATGCTTCTTGATAGAATTGTTTTAAAACTAAACTTGTTATTTTCATACTACTTCTAGTAGTTCAAGAGTTGAGCCTTTCTTTTGGCTATGATTTTCAAATTTATGATGTGTGTGTTCATGAGTTCCTCTGTGGGGTTTGTCTTACTTTTTGTTGGATGAGTTGCGTTTAGGCATAAGCATTTTGAGATAGTGTATGTGTTGCATATCTTTGTTGGTTATGGAGATTACTAATCAATAGTATTCGTTCATAGTTGAGCATTGTTTGCTCCTACCTTTCTTGAGTCTCTTGAATGATGACTGATCGAGTATATTGAATGGTGTCCTTACTATTCTTAGTGTGGGTTGTTGTTTAATTCGAATCTTTCATGGATTATGTGTTCTTTGTTTGGTTTGAGTTAAGAGATAGAAATTATTAGATAAACAATCGTTTTACTGTAAATTTTTCGCACTTTTTTTATTTTCACGGGATATATAAATTATCTTCATACTTCCTTGTTTGATGGTTGCATTAATGAAATTTGCTTCATCTACGAAATTGCTATAACATTCATTACCACAAGAGGAATAAAATCTCTCTGTTTGGTTTGTTTTTCTGGAGGTTTTTTTCACAATTTTAAATAATAACTGTCTCATTCCAATTGACCTTTTCACATTTTTAATACACAATTTTACATTTCTAATAAAAAAAATCTAAAAACACATATTCAAAATACAGTCCAAATATTGGATGGCAAAAAGAACTTATCATGAATACTCTGGATCAAGAGAAGCAGCAAACAAGCCAACAATTTATCAAGATATAAATCCAGAGAAGCTCAGAACTATTCCGTCCTTATTATAAGACATTTTAATTTGTCCTAAATTTCACATAATATATTTTTTTAATTGTAAAAAAGAATCTTAAAAATATTTTCTAATAATTATAAAAATCCAATGGATGTGAAAATATAGTTTTAAAGTTTTTTTTTCATATGAAAAAACATACTAAGTGAAATATATGACAAAATAAAATGTCTTACAATGAGAACCGAAGGAGTATAATTTGCCAAATGTGTCTGGGGCGATGTGCGCGCCTTTATTGCCCCTTTTGGCTTTTTCTTTTGCCCCAATTAGTTAATTCGTCGGTTTTCTCTCGCGTTAATTAGTAACTCCAAATATAGATTTTGTAGCTAAATTTGAAACAGCCATCGGTATTATTATTAAAAAAAAATTCACGTCCACTTCGTTTTTTGTGTTCATAGTATAATACTATAATTTAACAAAATTTGTAATTTTTTTAAAAAACCTTGAAACAAATATGAACTAACTAGAAAAAAAAAAGTGAAGCATTTGGAAACTACACTTATCAATTAATGAATTTTCTGTAATACAAACGTTCTTGTGAAATCTGGAACAAATATTATCGGTATTTTATATCCATGTAATATTATAACTCAACAGTTCTTGACTCAGGACTTCTGCATTGGGGGAATAAAAGAAAAAGAAATTCATGCAGTATACACAGATTATCACAAAAGATTTTGTGACCAACTCCATATCTTCACACATGCAATATAAAGAAACCATACCATGTTTACATTACTGTTTGAAGTCATGTTGCATATAATTGTTTCAATATTTTTACTCATATAATTTTGCAAGGAAATGTTGTAATCTGAATTTATTATTATTTTTTTAAAGGGAAAAATTGAAATTATCACTATTCTGAAACTATGTATGCATTATTATTAGCAATCATTGCTTGAGATATAGGCACATTAGAACATATCTGTCATTATCGTTTCATGTTTTTACAAGATCAATAATGTAGAATGTCTTATTGGAAGAAACTTGTCCGAGGACCCCCAGGTGGAGGGCAGCGATGGAGCGATGTCAGCGACTATAGTGGCATAATTGAGGAGATGCCTGGAGTTTGGGGGTGACAACAGTGATCGGCATGTCAACTCTCCGTTCGCCAAATATTTCGAAGTTTATTTGATGCAGTATCTCTCTGAATACTATCAATTAGGATATGAAGATCTTTGAAAACTAGAAGAAGGCATGCACAAAGTCAGTAATATTTCATTTCCCATATTTTAGCAGCCTTAAATTATAACCTATATAATATGTATCCCTTCGGAAAAAAAATGCCAATTTTTTAGAGATCATTATTTGGTTTCACTGCACATCGTGAATGTAATTTCGTTTTTAGGAATAAAAATACTTTGTTTATTTGTATTCTTTTTAATTAAAACCAATTACCAAAAATTAAATTGAGAAAAAATGAGATTATAGAAATAATTAATAATAGTACCATAATAACCCAAAAGACATGCATCCAGTGGACCATAATAATATTGGTTTGCGATTTTATATAGTACTCTATCCACTCATAACACGTAAATTAGTTTTTTATTGGACATATATATTTGAATTACCTCTAACAAGCAAAAATTGATCAATTAGGGTACTCGTTACTAATTACGTACCATCACCAGATCATCAAGGGGTTTACATCCTCGATATCATCAAAGGAATAATCACAGGAGCAGAACAATACTTCACTAGCACTAAAAGGAGAAGGTGGATAATTTAAGGAATTGTAATCGGCAATTAGGAATGTTTCCGTCCAGAAACTCCCACCGGAAAACTCTCATTATTATTTCTGCCACGAAACCGTCGTATTCCGTTAGAGCATCTATACTCGTGTTATCGATGGTGGATCCCGTGTTATCCTTGTCAGCTCTCACTGGTGGAGGAATGCTGGAGGAACATAATTGTTCATTTGAAGATACTGATGATGACGACGACGACGATGATGATATGAGCTTTGATGAAAATTCAGAACTTTCAAGGGTTTCTTGAGTTGTTATTAAATTTCTTCCTGCAAGTTTATCTTTTTCTTTTTTGTTGAGAATATTGTATTGAGATATGTCAAGTTTCCTTGTCCCACATGGATGGATGGAGAGTCTTGTAACCAATTGATTTTAAGGTGAAACCACATGTGAGTCTATATTTGGGCCTTCAAAATGGTATTACAGCGGATAAAACCTGTGTGACTTGTGAGACAGGCTTTTACTGACCCGACAGTTATATCCGAGATCTGATTTACTTACCCGTTTGGGTCTTCTACTTTTATTTACCTAAATTTGGACCTTCTATTTCTACTTTTTCTACTTACCCAAATCTGGGTCTTCTATTTCTATTTCTTCTACTTACCCAGTTATATCTGGGCCTTTACTGATCCGACGTTTATCCGATTTGTCCAACCCCTTCGGACTTGAGAGGGGAGTGTTGAGATATTGTATTGAGATATGTCCAAATTCCCTTGTCCCACGTTTCGGGCTTGAGAGGAGAGTGTTGAGAATATTGTATTGAGATATGTCCAAGTTCCCTTGTCCCACGTGAATTGATGGAGACTTTTGTTACTAATTGGTTTCTAGGTAAAACCACATGTAGACCTATACTTGGGATTTCAAGATTCTTCTTCCTGTTGCGGCAATCTTCTACTTTTACGACGCTTTGATTTTCGTTTTGATTCGCTCAAAGCTTGTTTTGAGGGATTCTTGAGGTTCGTGTGCCAATGATTTTTAACCTCATTGTCTGTTCTACCCGGCAAATGGGCTGCTATGGCTGACCATCTGCAAATTATTACGTGCAACTAAATTAAGTACAACTGTGCATTGATATAGTTCATGAAAATATGTTACTATATTTGTTTCCCAGTAAAATAATAAAGGGGAAAAAGTGCGAGAATATTAAGCAGGTACATTATATTATGAAAAATACCAACTATATTATGTTCCATCTATAATTTGACACTTAATGATAGATCATAGTATAACATAAGTTTGAAACCCATTAGGGTACGTAATACAATTATTATATTTGAAATGTCAAGGAAATTTAATTGTACGTCAAAAAAATCATGAAAGATGGTAAAGAAAATTAAACATTATTCGACCAAACAAAAAAAAATACACTAAGTTTTGGGATTTATACTATTTTTAGTGCAAATTTCAGAATTAAATGTAATTAATTTTATGAGACCAAAGAAGTAGTAAATAAAAAAAAAAATGCATTACCTATTCCCTAGTGACTCATGCAGCTTAATGATATAGTTTCCATGCTTGAGATCAGGCCTCAGATAATTCATCCATCTTAGCCGGAGTATTGTATAACTATGTCAAAAAAAAAAAGTTCAATATAAGTTTTAAAATTTATACTGTTTTTTTAACAAAGTTCAAAATTAAATATGGACTAACTTTTTTTTAGACACGAGTATTGTCAAAAATATTTCATTTACTAAGAAAAATGACTTTTGCATCTTAAGCATTTTATCTTTTATCTCTTTTGTCCTTTTGTCTACTTCCTTCAGAAAATTAGCTCTTAACAACAAGAGATAAAATCTTCAAAATTTAGAATCTAAACTATCGAGTAGTCGTGGGGTTAGGGTTGGAATTACTTATGCAAATAGTGCACAATTTTACCCTTAGTCCTTTAAACAAAAGTTCTTTTCCACGGAAACATAAGAATGAGAAAAAAAAAATGAAGCTTAAAATCAAAATCTTAATTTGTTCTATAGAAAAGATCATATTTCTTTTTTTTCAAAAAAATATTTATTGACAGATGTATAGGACAAGTACATTCAATTCACTCTAAAGTATTGCATCGTGACATGGGACATTGAAGTTTGTATTCTCTTCTACGGATTGATAATGTTTTACAGCAGCATTTTCTACGGGGTTATCTATGTATTCTCTTGAAGTTTTACGGACTTCTACAAACAAATCTTTCTGAATGTACCCCATTAATTGGAAATTTATTGATATATTATTGTTTACACCGTACGCTGCACAGAAAATATGCTACATACATAAAATGTGTTTGGTAAGAAAATGAAGAGTTTCTACTTGTTAATTATTAGTAATAAATCTTAAGATAGTTGTAAAATGTATGTATATATATATATATATATATATATATACACTGTTGGTTAGAAGTGTTTTGACATTATTTCGAGTAAATTAAGAAACTGATTATTATTTTCTTTCTTTTTTTTTCCTAAAGAGGATCGATAGTTGTAAAATGTGTTCGGTAAGAAAAGTTTGACATTATTTCAAGTAAATTAAGAGATGTTCACACTTGAAATCTGCCTGGTTAGTTTTCCTAATTTTGTGCATGAACCATACAAAAATCAAGGAAAATCATGCATATTATAAATTATGTATTTGTGTAAATTAAACCCCAATATTTAAAAGATGTGTTTATTCACTAATGATGTACGTATAACTGGTGGAGAAATAATAAACAAATAAATAACTCATTTGCATATTAATTATCAACTGCTGACTTTGGAAATTAGAACATGGAGACTCAGCGTGATATGCTCCTCATTTCCACATTATTATAGTATTGTCACTTAATGGGAGCTGAGTTTCGTTTGATGTTTACTCAATGATTAAACAAACTCTGGTTATAGTGAATAATTTGAGAGGATTCAGCTCCGACTTAAATATTAATTTCCGATACAGTTAAACGTGCATGAAGAACTTCAAAAATCCTTTCCCGCAGGAATTTAGGAATTATAGAAAAAAAACGTCAAATTATGTTTATATATATATATATATATGTTACAGAAAGTAAATTATTGCGTATACAAGAAATGGGAGTGGATTAGAGTCATCGCGTGATGCCAATCAACGGCCAATGTTGCCCAAAGAAGTTATCAAATTTTAAGGGTAATAGAGCAAATTTTTTTACCATTTTCTCCACATGTTAGAGTTCTTTTTGTCCCTTTTTTCTACAATGTCACTTATTAGGAACATTTGACAACTACAAAAATAACACATCCTTTATATATATAAATAAAATTGTACATAATCGTTGCTTTTGTACAAAATTTTTCTAAGACTACATGATGTGTCCTTGAAAAACAAACGCCCTTTGAGGAGGAAATAAGTACAATATAAAAGACTTGTGTGGCTTGCCGACTTGGTTATAAAAGGATGGGCTACTTATGCAAAAGATGTAATTTTATTAGATTGGGATAAAAATGAGACAAATGTTTGGGACCTGGAGATATGAACTCAAGATATGAAAACTTAGATAACTGATAGATAGAAAAACTATGTATTTAATTACAAATTATTTGATATGGGAATATAACCTTGCGACAAAAGCTACTATATTGACACCACAAGACTTATTGTATAACTCCATATATATTGATTGGATTAAGACCTGACATTAGAGCTGTTTTGATTTCGTTGTTAATTAACACCAAGAATAAAAAGTCGGTCATAACAATTTTGGTTCCAATGAAATTTGTAGAGGTTATGTATATAATGAATTTGGAAAACTGTTTATCGGTTTATTCATTTCTCCTAATTACAATCTATCATTTTTAGTGTAATAATTGAATTGAAAGAAGCTAAAAGAAGAGATAACAAGGACAGATGGATTAGTCATATCCACAATTAAGTCACTATCACAATTCACAGTTAAACTGGTTTGATCAACATACTGTTCACGAGTGCTCCAAAATCTTGTTAGATATATTTGGAGGAGTTACAAGGTCTGGGTAAGCTGATCTCTCCACCAACATTCTGTCCACCAAAAATAGTACTTCCTCCATCCCAAAATTATTGTCCAATTTAGAATTTCTCTTTTAATACAATTTGAACTAAAAATGAAAACTCAAACTAGAGAATAATTTTGGGAGGGAGAGAGTATTTGTCATTTCGTTATAGTTCAAACATAAATATTCCAGCCCAGTGAAACATCAGTTTTACATTTCTAAAGCAAGTTTCAATAGTAACTTAATTTATTAATCTACTCCATCCAAATACAAATTCGAAACAAAAACGATACAGACATAACGTAAAAGGTTCATTATATGTTTCATATGACAATTTTGATAGTAAATAAGTTTTTGTCTTTTTTATTTCATAAAACAAAGTAGTTTGGATAAGGAGAAAATAAAAATCCTGGGCTGACCCTTATAACCTAGTAAAACACAGTATTAAAGAACACTCTTTTATAACGTCAGGAGTGACGATAGAGAAAATTTATTTTAAATATGAGAAACCAAAGGCTCCACAAGAGAAAGCCTTCGTTGTTTTGCTTTGTATTATTTTAGCGTAATAAGAATACATAAAGAAATCACTGGAAAAGTAAAAACTAGGTTAAGAATATTAAAAAGTACATTGAAATAGTAAAATGGCAAACCAATTAATAACCTTGAAAAGTTCATTCTAAAAAGGTATTTCTGACTTCTAACTTCATTCATCTTGAAAATGAAAAATAAATAATCTTATACTAATTTAATTCAACAACCTACATTATTTCCATTCATGAGACTGGCAAAGTACTAGATTGCAATATCTAAATTTCTTCAATGAAATACTTGTGAAAAGCAGTTGCATGCTCCACTTGTAGGCGCAGTGGAACAAGGAAAGATTCATCTCCATTTTGACTTGGAATTATCGCAAACCTTCCATCATAACCAAGAGCTCCAGGACCCAAGAAAATCTCATTACCCCAACCAAAATTAGCCCCAAAGATAGGCAATCCAACCCAACTTGTGATAAGCAAATTAGGATTCCCAAAAAAAGCTCCTTGTGTGTTCCCAACTATGTGGGAATATCGCATTGTTGAGATATCCGGGATGTTTTTTATCCGATTAAGGTATGCCCTAACCGTATCATCACACACATTCTCAATTTCTGTCCTAATCTTTCTTGAAATATAACTCAATGGATTTGATAAAAGCTCTCCAACAGTAGATAGTACTGGTAAAGGTATAACAGCATTTCCAAAGTACCTTTTCGGCAATGGCGGATTGACCCGGTTGCGAAAATCCACAGAAACAAATAGTACTGTTTCTTGCTCGGATTTTAGCCCCCGGGCTAATGAAACACACTTCCATATGTGTGCGCATACTGCCTCGATTCGGGTAAATGGGTACCTGTATCGGCATCCGCTAACCCGTGAATCCTGACCGTTAATTTCGTTGGCCTTGCTTTTGAGAGCTTGAATCTGTTCTTTGCTCAACTTCAACATGAATGTCGCCGTTACTTTTTTACGCTCTTCCAGATTGTCTGAACTTCCTAAAAGAACGGGAAGGCAAAAGAAATCGGGCGACGGCAAAATTCGACGATGATCTTTCTCGAATTCTTGTAACACCGTCCGATCAAGAAACGGATGATCATCGGATTTTTCGCGGCGGGCGATTTTGACCCACTCGGTGAAAAAATGACCGGCACTTTGACCGTCCCCCACAACGTGTGATATTCCGGTTCCAAGGCTGATCCCACCGCACTTCAACTTGGTAACTTGTAAAATAAGCAACGGCGCTTCATCCACCGGAATAACGTCGAAATCTACGGACGGGATCAATGATCTGAGCTCCGGAGTTGGACAAAAGTCTCCAAAATCATCGATGGTGAGATCAGACTCGGCTTCGACAAACAAAGCTCCACCGTCAACGGAGTTATTACAATGAAGCTCAACTCGACCACCGCCGGAGCCGCCACCGTTGGTTTCACGTAAACGTCCGGCCAGAGGGTAAAATCTCACCAGAGCCTTGCTTAGTGAATCCATTAAAATATGAACAATTTCTTCCACTGAATGAGTAGTTGGTTTGTAGAAGTAAACGGAAGGCGCGTGTGTTAAGGCATTGGCTTGATCACATTCCGATAAGAACATGACTTTTTCCGGTATCGGTTCTGCTGGTTTCACAATATGGGAGGCCTTCAAGATCACCATTGTTGAAAGAAATAATAGCTAAGAGTTAGTAGTACTAACTAAAGGAGTGGATTCAGCTTGTTATTGCTTTGTTTCTCTTTAGGCCTTCAAGATCACCCGACATTTATTTTTTGATTTAACATCTTACCTACTCATCATTTTTATGGTCCAGTGATGATTTAAACCATTCCTGCTGGAAACATTATGTCTATCAATCAAACGATTCAAATCCCTACACCCCACCACCTTGTGTCTGTTTGTATTTGTATTTGTATTGAAGAAATGGTCTGTCCCCTCTTTTTTTTTTGTGTTTTCTTTTCTTTTCTTTTTTGTTTTTTTTTGGGTACGATAACAATGACGAGGCTTTTCTAAAACGTTCACTTTTCGGGTGTTTTTCAGTATGGAAAACGTAAAATATGTTTTCCGAATTTAAAAGGTGAGATAACAAAATTTTTTACCAAAAAAAAAAAAAAACAAAAAGACAATACTACAACAACACCTCAACTATGTGTTTCTGAAGCTGCTAACATAATTTAATGTACATGCGTGTAACTTTGCGAGCAGCGTCTCTGAAGGAAGAATCACCCTCGATCCATTTCTCCTAATTTCACAAGTTTTTCCCTATAGTAATATAGTGGAGTAGGAATCAGAAAGAATTTTACATATCATTTTGAATTTTGGCCAAGTTTAAGGAGGTAATTACATATTGTAGTAGCTAACCACGAATTGAAGTGAACTTGACTACCTTATTTTCTCTTTCTACAATGCTAAAAAATGAGTGGGTTTTTCGCGGCGGATTGCCTCGCGAGTTTAGCTACCTTAACTCTTGGGGGTTTTATGGTTGAATGAACAGCCTTCAAGCGTTAAACCCTGGTTACAATATGACGTAGTAGGTATATCATGCCAACGGTTTGTGTTAAAGTAGAATTCCTTAGATTTTTGCCTCCTATTTTGTACTTAAAAAAAAAAAAAAGAGTGGGTTTCGGCAAACAAATTGAATATTTGAAGTCCAACTATTGATTTTCCGCATAAGTTGATAAATTAGAATAGATTCATTAGTAATGGAAATGTTTATATCCTTTTTTTATTTTTCTTTTTGGCTGTTTGTTCATATATTACGTACTATAGAGCGGGAAAAAAAGTACTACATTACAATCCGATATGTACTTATTAGTATTTTATTTTTTTCAGCCCCTTCAAACTACAACATAAAACGAAACTTTCAACACTATTGAGTATGACAAATATCAACTTATAATGTTTAAATTCAAATTTATGCCTTCCTAATTGGATTCTTCAGACTACCAGTTGTCCACCTATATACTGGAAACAGTGAATTTATCCGGCATCGGCGGGTCGTGTGGGGTTGGCGCAATGAGGAACCAAGGCCGGGGAAGGCAAATACGTACGTAAATGAATAAATATGAATGGTTATAATTCATTCCATGTGAAAAAGAAAAAAGTTTTGATATACTTTATTCATCTTTATTATAAGACATTTTGATTTGATTTAAATTTTGTTTAGTATGTTCATCTTGTAATTACAAATACTTCCTCTGGTCCTTAATACTCCCTCTGGTCCTTATTATAAGGCATTTTGACTTTTCATATATTTCACCTAGTACATATTTTTCATCGACGAGAAAATCTAAAAAATATATTTTTACATTCGTTGTGTTCTCTTGATTGTTGTGATATATATTTAAGATTTTTTTGTCGATTAAAAATGTGTACTAGGTTAAATCTAGGACAAATCAAAATGTCTTATATTAAGGACCGGAGGGAATATATGGCATTTTGATTTGTCCTATGTTTCACCTAGTACACATTTTTAATTGACAAAAAAATTTTAAAAATATATTTTCACATTCCTTATGTTCTTTTTATTGTTATGAAATCTTTTTAAGGTTTTTTTGATAATAAAAATATGTACTAGGTGAAACTTAGGAAAAATCAAAGTGCCTTACAATAAGGACCGGAGGGAGTAGAACCTTAAAAATAAATTTCACATTTATTGTGTTCTTCCAATTATTATAAAATATTTTTAAATTTTTATTTTCAATTGTTAGAAGAATATAATGAAACTTTAAAAAAAAAAAAAAAAAACCAAAATGCCTTGTGATAAAGACCAAACCGAGTATGTGATTGTATATATTCAATAGTACATTGACATGCATAAAGCAAAATAGGGCTATAATTCGCGAATGCCTCTAATAACCAAGAGCATTCAACAAACAATATTCTCAGCATCACTCGTAATCATAATGATGAGATGGAGTTGCTCTTATAAACGAAACCTCACCTCAGATACTCGGTCTCTTGCCATGTGACACAACCACACCATGTCCTATATTTTATTGGTAAATTTTACTTTTAAAAATCAAGAATTTTATCATTACAGAGTTGTTTTCCAAATTTTACTTTATTATGCTTAACCTAATTATTCAAAAGATTAACATGAAACTAAAAGGAAATGCTTCTTTGTTCCTTAATCTCTTTTATTTATTCTAATAGTTTCGCATCATACTAATTTCTAATCATAAACAAACTTTTAGTAAAAGTAACAAATGCTAAACATATACTCCAGGGCATTTCATTTTCGAGAAGGGTTGACCTAATTTCACTTTTTTATAAGCCTCCGCGGAGGTTGAACACAAAATTATCAAGTCAACATTTTTTAAAAAAATTTTTATATCAAGTCAACATCTTTAGGGCATCTCCAACCCTAAAGCCCTCTATCCCTCAATTTTACAGTTTTTACAGTAAAGTCTCTCTATTGTACAGGTTCAACAGTGTCAGGAACTCTAACATATTCCCTCTATAGAATTCCCTCTAAAAGAATATTCTCGGCATATTCTTTTCTAATTTATTAAATCTAATATATAGTTTTTACAATTAATAGTTTGATGTATTTTACAAGTAGAATATATATATATATAGATAAATTTTGTGATTAAATTAGTCATCCAATATTCCAATTAAATTCTCAAATTATTCAATTGTGGTTTACCTGCAAAATTTGTAATTTATGAAATTGTAAATAATTAAGTGTAAAACACTTGTATTTCTACTGAAATAAAAAAATCTATTACTAATACATCATTAAAAGGATAAGAATGCATCACATATATGAAAGTTAAAACACTAACTTACCGATAATTTATTTTATGTGGTGAAAATTGCAGACTATACGATTTTCTTAATGTTAATTCACTGGCCATAAATAACATGAAAAGAGAAACATCATAGTTTTTATATTTATATTTTTAGTTTTATTAATATTTGAGAAATTAATGAAAAAATATTTAAAAAATGTCCATATACGAAAAAGGCCGAACATACAAATTGTAATAGAAAAAGCCCAAACCTCCATTCAAATCATCTCAAAAACAGCATGGCAAACTGGAATACTAAAGGCCCAAAACCCTTGAAACCCCAGCTCACATTAAATAAAAAAAAAAAATGAAAGAAAAGAAGAAGAAAGCCCCCGCTATGTGAACAGTATCCCGCCAAGGATGGAGGGTAGCGGAGCCAAAATGCAGGAATAGCGGAGCGGAGTGGCTACAGTTGCGGTGTGTTGGAGATCCCTCCATTCCAACTTGCCCCGCTTGATATAGAGGGCCGGTTGGAGATGTCCTAGTAGTGCTGAACCCGGACCCTAGCTAGTTTCGAGTTTTGGACATTTCTCTTACAATATTTTCAGGTCGTGAAAAATTGTTTGAGATTAAAAAATGCAAATATAATTAAGAGAAAATTTTCTCTGTAGTATTTAAGCTACAGATCCCCTTCTGAAATCAGGAAAAGTTAACAAGACATCATCCTAGAATACCATTTTTTTTTTTTTTGACAAATTATGAGAAAGGAAACAATATATATACTTGTAGTACTTGGTTTAAGTGTAGTGGCTTACTGGCTTTCCATCACAATGGAAGTGCTACGTCCTAAAGGACAAGCTGAATATCCTAGACAACAATGTTGTCCTTTTCCTTTCATGCAAACCCACGAACGGAAAAATTTGTATTTTTCTATTGATAATTAAGTTCCAGAATATCCATTAAAGAAAAAAGCTCCAGAGTATCAATACTTATTAAAATAATTATCCTCCTCATCTCAACAAAGTAAAAAATTAAAAAAAAAATCAATTTCTTGAATTAAAAAAATAGAACAAAATAGTCTATTTTTCCTAGATAGAAGATCTATTATATTATATATATTAAAAAAATACAAGAAAACTAATTATGTTCTTTCATCAGCCTGAGATATCATTTCTCTTATTATTATTATTTAGTACTGTATTTGTTATTATTATGATCGTTGTTATTGTTGTTGTTGTTTAACGAGCTTTGAATGAGTCATAAGTCTCCATTCCACCTAAACGTGATTCGATTACTGAACTCATTTCTTTGAAAACTAAAGAGACATGGATATTCCGTAATGTGCAAGTGGTTACTACAGATGACGAATATGATGAAACTAAAACTACGAATTAAAGAGCACACTTTTATACATTGTGGATGTCGATACCTTCGTTATGAATTGATGTGAGAAACTTCATAGGTTGAACACATAAAAGTGTTTTTACATATTTGGAACATTAAATATTCGCATTATAACAAGATCCATTAATTAAGATTATTGTATCATGAAAAGTACATTAGAAATGAAATTTGAATATATATATATATATATATATATATATATATTATAGAGAAAATCTAGAGTTCCGTTGGCTATTTTTACGGAACCGTCCCGTTTTGTCTTCAGCCAATCAAAATTGAGGGTATAAGTTGTAACCATGTGGTTAATAACATTCTATAATTTTCAAAACTAATTGAGAAAATGGTCAATTTTTTTCCAAAACTTCAAATGTCTAGCCAATTTGACCCAAAAGATTTTAGGGAAACCAAATTCATCATATAAATTTCAATTTTTTGCCAATTTAATCAAGTTAGTGAGAATTTTGTTAGATTTAACATTTTCACTGATATTCCATTACTTTTTACAGTTTTTTATTGGTAAAAAATGTTGTTGACAAAATTTTAACATTGTATTGTTAATGTTTTGTTATTCAGTAACATACGCTTATCTTAACATTTAATTATTATAACGTCCCTATTACAAAATTTATCTTCTAATCTAATTCATTACTCCCACCTGATGCCTTTTTTATTTTTGTTGTGCTCCCACCCTAAGCCTCTTCCTTTTCTTCCTCCACCTTCCTCTATTTGTTTTCCACCGTCGCACCACCACCGCCCCATTCCTCTTCTCCCATAAAAATTACCATCACCACTTCTTAAATCTGTGAGAATTCCAAACCATCACCACAAACATAAAAATTTACCTCCACCAACAGTACACAATTCTCACTCCATCACTACCCGCATTTCTGTCGCCACCACTTTTTTTAATTTCACAAAAATTACAAAATACTTTACGTATTTTTTTGATGTTTTTCCTTTTTCATTCTTAAAGAAGTAATGGTCCCCCCTCTACCTGCACCATTTGTCCCTTGTCCACTTCTTCTCCATGGCAGCTGAAAAAGAAATCATTGCGGAGATACACTTATCTTTTTTAGCAGGTTGTTATCGAAATTTCTTTTTACCGTTCCATTCTTCAGAATTCTTTACCCAGAAACTATTCTTTTATATTTCGTGAGTGTTGATTTAGAGGGTAATGTTATTTCACTTACTAAAGAGATTTTTCTTTCATTAAACTCAGTTAATTACTAACTTTAAATTCAAGAACTATCATTTAAATTGATGTACTATGCAGAAGGAGGAAAATTAATACATCTACATGACCGTTAAGATGGCCAAAGGTGATGATAGTGGTGTTGGCACCTGGAGATGACGATAGATACCCATTTTTATTGTACATTTTTTTTTAAGAAAATAACTAAATAATGAAGATCATGAACAAAAAAAAAAATTGATGCTGGATAACAAAATCTCTCAAAATTAATAGAATCTTTGGGGTTAATGACGAAATTTTCTAAGTCATTTTGTTGAGTATAGTAATTTTTAATGCATTAAATTTTTTATAATCACTTAAAATAAATTGCATCATACATTACATATGGTGTCTAATTTTTGAAAATTTTTAATTTGTTTTAATTTATTCTTTTTATCAATTTTCTTCTTGTACACTCTAACTTATATATATTGGCACTAATATAATTACTATATTTCAAGAAAAAATTTAACTTTTGTATTTTAATTTTGAGGTTTAAAAATAATTAAAAAAAATATACTATTAAAAATATACGAATTTATCTAGGTCATGAAATTCAATGATTGCTTATATAGTTTAGTCATCGGCAACGTAACAATAAAAGTTACTAAAAAGGAATAAAAATTGTGTTAACCAAGTTTACAACAATTCATCGTCGTGGACTAAATAAATTAGCACTTTTTCCTATTTTAAAAGATTTTCTAATTTTTAAATTATTTTTATTATCACAAACAAAATAACCATTTTAGGCTACATCGAGTAAAATTTATATTTCGTAACTTACCTATGCATCACAAGAAGTCTAGAAGGAAAGACTTATCTTATAACTTTTTTTTTTTTAGATTTTGTTATTTTTTTTTAGAATGATTAACTATTAATTTTCATACTTATTTCAACTCGATTTTTTTCTTCCTCATTTTCTTTATTTTTTAAACTTTTTTTTATAATCTATGAAATAAAAGGTAAATTAATTAATGAAATTTAGTATACAAGTAGCAACAGATACAAGTCAGGAAGTACAAGAAAAAGAATCGTAAATAAAAAAAAAATTAAAATTCAAAAATTTTAAAAATACGATAAAACTACTCCTAAACCCAACCACATGTTTGCACATGAAAAATAGAGTTTGAAAATAAATAATTATTATTTTAAAGATCTTATAATTTTATTTTGATGGTTCTAAAAGTAGTAAAGAGAAATAAAATGAAATAGAAAAAAAATAAATAAATAATGAAAAGAGATTATTTTGTTGATTTTACATATTTTGGGGGTTATTTTTATAATTTTTTGATACTATAGGGATATTTTTGTTAAAAATTAACTGAAATCCATCAAGTTTAATGGAAATTGGACCAATTAGATGAAATTGGCAAAAAAATTCAAACATAAAAGACAAAATTGGCCAACCAAAAAATCAATGGGGTAAAATTAACGAAGCGATAAAAACTTTGGGTACAACCGTCATTTTATCCGTAACAGAATGTCAGCGGAGATGTTAAATCTAAAGAAATTTTTGTCAATTGGATGAAATTGGCCAGAAATTGAAAATTAGATGATGAATTTGGCTTCCCAAAAATCTTTTGGGTCAAATTGGCCTGACACTTGAAACTTTAGGCAAAATTGATCATTTTCTCTAATTTTTCAGTTTAATCAGGTGTGTTTAGGTATATTTACTTATGATGCACCCTTATTTTAATCCTACAGTTGTTAATGAGCCTAATTAATCCTACGGTTACTATCCTAAAACGGAACTGTCCCATAACGGGACTCTAGCCGCTCCCTTATACATACATATATATATATGTATGTATACACACACAAATTACCGACATGATACTCCATATATCATCTATCCAGGCCCTAATAAAAAGGAGTCCAAAAATGTGACCATTCATGTGCATCGATCCTCTATTAACTTATAACTATTATGGCTGGAAATTTCGATACTGAGTATAATGAGTAGAGATTCGATTAAACAACACCAAGATAAAATATGTATGGTCTCATTGCTCAAAATTCTCTAAAATATTGTTTACTTGTGAGTCCATAAAATAATTAAAACAATATAATAAAAAAGAAATTTTTGGGTGGAAAATGTTTTTCTCCCACTGAGTGATAATTTTAGTTTTTAGGCTTTAGCCTTATTTATTGGAGAAAAAAAATAGAAAGAAACTTTGGAGGGGGAGGGCGGGAGTATATACTTAAATGCAAAGATTGTTTATGGTCTTTTGATTCAAAAGTTTAAAGCTTTCAAACTACCCAGCCTGTTTGATACATCTTATTGCTAAGAATATTCCATTAAGCAATTTTTATTTCAGCATGTTTGATAACAAAAATTGACTCTCTTAATGAATTAATTGGTGATGAAACACTAGTACAAAATATAAGGAATATAATCTAATTTATTCTTATTCTGTAACTACTAATGAAATTCAACATTGGCATGTTTGATAAAAATTAATGCTTAATTCTGAATACTTAATATTGAATTAAAAATGTTAATTTCATTACACAGTTAAGTAATAAGCAGTACACCCAATTTTCACAAATTGGCAGTTAAAGACGCGCTGTGACACGTGCCTTCATTGTGGGCGAAATCACTTTTAGTGCGTGAGTTTTCTGAAACTGTTGCGGGCTTTCCTCTTGTAAGCCGATACTCATAGAGTGTCTGCCATGGCAAGGCAAGCAAAAGGAAAGCAAGTTGCAGTGAAGCTTCCGGAGAAGGTAGTAAGGGTTTTTGAGATCGAAAGAGGGGAATTTTCAGGCAGTAAGTCGGAAGCTGTAGTTGAACCTCGGAGTCCGATGAATGATAAGGCTCGTGTAACTAAATCTCTGTCAGTTCGTGCTAATTCAGTATTGGAAAATCATAGTAATCTTCGAATTGTGGCATCTGGTAGTGGTTTGGGTAAGGGGGATTTAGAGTTAACAAAGCCAGATCCCCAATGGTCTAGGTTTAATTCCGATAAGCTTAGACCTGCTCCTACTAAATTGGATTTTGTGGACTCTAAATTGGTTGATGATAAGAATATTGAGACAATTCTAAAAGAAGATATAGGAGCAGAAGTTGAATCTGAAAAACATCAGTGGTTTGTTATATCTTGGGGGGGTTTCCTCCTTACAGGGTGATGAGTGGCTATCTGAGGCGTATCTAGGGAAGGTTTGGGGTAGACAAGATCCTCTTACTTGAGAATGGGGTGTTTGTGGTGCGATTTAGCAATATGGAAGGGAAAGTAACAGTGTTGGAGAGTCACTTTCATATGGACAGTAAACCATTGATTGTTAAAGACTGCTCAGTGGAGGAGGGATTCAACATGGAGGATATTCTCAGAGTTCCCATCTGGATCCAACTTCCGGGTCTGAAACTGAAGTATTGGGGAGTGTCATTGAGTAGGCTGGCAAGCACCATTGGCAAGCCTTTGCAGATGGATGAACTGATCGCCAATAAGCAAAAGGATTAGCTTTGCTAGACTATTGGTGGACATGGAGATGAAGCAGAAGCTCCCTGAGCAGATTTGGTATGAAGATGAAGATGGGATCATCCGAACGCAGCCAATAGTTTACGAATGGAAGCCTGTCTGATGTGATGAATGCAAAGGTTATGGCCATGAATCGGTAATTTGTAGGCAGAAGGCAAAGGAAGTAAAACAGGCTAAGAGGGATAGTACTGTAAGCACTAAGCAGCCAGAGGAAGTGAAGGATAAGCAGACAGAGGCAGTAAAGGATAAGCAGGTTGATGGTGCAAAACTTTCTAAGAAAGTTGAACAGTCAATTGGGTCTACAAGCTATGGCCAGAATCCAGTTCGCAATTACAGGTTATGGGTTGAAAAGGAGAAACAAGGAGGGGGTACTCAAGTTGCCATTCCTCATGAGTAATATCTTTATATGGAATGCAAGGGGTTTGCATAGTCCCTGAAACAAAGAGAACGAAAAAAATTTAGTCTCGACAAGCTATGCAAAAATAGTAGGAGTAGTAGAAGTTAAAATGAGAGCTGACAAATTAGAAGAGTATATGAGAAGGAGCTGGCCAGACCATGAGTATTTTGAAAATTGCAGAAATGGGGAACGAAATCGAATAGTTGTGATATGGAATAAGGTTGAGATCAAACTGAAAATTTTATTAAAAGAGGAGCAATTTGTGCACTGTGAAGTGACTGACAGAATCACAAGAAGGACTTACTTAATGACAGTGGTTTGTGGTGCTAACAACAAAACAGATAGAATGTGTCTGTGGACTGCACTAAGGCAGATAGGGCAATCAGTTACCCTGGCTTGGATGGTTGCGGGAGACTTCAACAATGTTTTGGAAGCGAATGAAAAAATTGGAGGTCTGCCAGTTACTTTGGCAGAAATAGAGGAGTTCAGGAAGACTATAGATGATTGTCATCTATGGCATTTATTATCACATGGGGGTTTCTATACCTGGAATAACAAACAGACTGGGGATCGGAGAATATATGCACGACTTTGCAGAGTGTTAGTGAATGCATCCTGGTAGATAGATTATGAAGAAAGCTCAGTAAAGGTACTTCCAGAAGGCATTTCTGACCATTGCCCTCAGGTGGTTAGTTGGAATTATAATCAGTGCCATTCTAAAAAGTGGTTCCAATTTCTTAATATGTGGACTAAGGATGATGAATACATGGGATTGGTTCGGCAGGTTTGGGAAAAAGAGATAGTAGGTTGTCAGCAGTTTCAGCTGGTTCAAAGCAGAAACTTTTAAAACCAGTACTTAAAGATCTGAATTGACAGAAGTTTGCGAATATGGATCAGAAGGTGATTGAATGTAAGGAAAGAATGGACTACTTGCAGAAGGAACTCCAGAAACAGCCACAGAATACATTCTTACAAGATGAAGAAAAGGTAGCTGTTCAAAAATATACTGAAACGAGTCTTCAAGCGTTTAGTTATTGGCAGCAAAAAATTAAAGAGAGGTGGATTCAGCGGGGGGGGGGGACCTCAACACAGCTTATTTTCACGCTGTTGTCAGGGAGAAACAAAAGAAGAAAAGAATAAAGTCATTTACCATGGAAAGTGGAACTGTTTTGGAGGAATGGAAGGAGATAGAGGAACACTTCCTAGGTTTCTTTCAGAATCTGTTGGGAAAGGAGGTGAGCTGTAATTCTGTCAGGCAGGAAGTGTGTGAAAAATGGTTGCTATTATCCATAGAAGATCAGCTGACGCTTATTAAAGAGATCCCAGACTCTGAGATAAAGGCAGCGATGTTCCCTATTGATGATATGAAGATTCCAGGCCCCGATGGCTTTAATAGTGCTTTTTATAAGAAAACCTGGGAAGTGGTTGGGAGCAGCACTTGTGCAGCAGTGAAGTAGTTCTTTAGAACAGGAAAGATTCTCAAGCAGATAAATCCAACGGTGCTCTCTCTGGTTCCTAAGGTTGAATCCCCACAGTCAGCTGCTGAGTTTTGCCCCATATCTTGCTATAATACACTTTATAAGTGCATTACCAAGATAATTAGTAACAGACTTTCTGTAATTCTGCCTCGATTTGTGAATCAGAGCCAAGGAGCATTTGTGAAAGACAGACTTATCCTTCACCATATCCTACTAACACAAGAGATGGTACAGTTGTATAATCGAAAGAATGCTTCCCCAAGATGCCTTATGAAAGTGGACCTGCAAAAGGCGTTTGATTCAATCGCCTGGAAGTTTGTAGTGGAGCTGCTTACTGCTTATAAGTTCCCAAGTAAATTTACTATTTGGATCAAAGAATGCATTTCTACTAATAGTTTCTCTTTATGTATGAATGGTGGATTAACGGGGTTCTTTGAGGGTAAAAGGGGATTACGGCAAGGGAATCTGTTTCCCCTTTGTTGTTTGTACTTTGTATGGAATATTTGAGTAGATTGATTCATTTTGAAGTAGACTTGGGGGGTTTTCAGTTTCATCCCAAATGCAAAAGATTGCAGATTACGAATCTTAGCTTTGCAGATGATCTGATTATATTGTGTAAACCAGACCTAAGGACTGTTAAAAGAATTAAAAGAGTATTAGATGAATTTTTTGATGCTTCTTGTTTAAAGGCAAACCCTTTGAAGTCGAATGTTTACTGTGGGGGAGTTAATCAGAATATAAGGGAGGAAATACAAAGGATCACTGGCTTTAGTAGGGGATCCTTCCCATTGAAGTATTTAAGGGTGCCTATTTCACCAAATAAATGGAATTCTATTGATTATGAGATCTTAGTGGAGAAGGTGACAGCTAAGATAAGATGCTGGACCACTCGTTATCTATCCTATGCTGGGAAAGCAGTACTGGTGAACTCCGTGCTGCTAGCTATGCACACTTACTGGTCTTCTGTTTTTGTGCTGCCCAACAGCATTATCAGGCAGGTGTCTAGAGTGTGTCGTGAGTTCTTGTGGGGAAAAAAAGAAGCTAGGAGGGTCCTTGCTTTAGTTGCTTGGGATGATCTTTGCAAGCCAAAGAAATTTGGGGTTTTGAATTTCAAGGAACTAGCTGTTCGGAATCAGGCTGCCTTAGGGAAGCAAATATGGGATTTAGCCTCTAAAAAGGATAATCTTTGGGTCAAATGGTGTCACGAATACTATTTGAAAGGTAAGACTATATGGGAATATGAACCAAGGAAAGGGTGTCGTTGGTATTGGAAGAATCTAATGAGTATTAAGGAAACTTTGAAGGCAGGGATTCTTAATGGAAAATGGGTTGCAGCAACAATTGGAATGTATTTGGCTAGGTCTGGCTATGACTAGCTTAGAGGGGAAGGGAGTAGATTGAGAGAAGCGCCACTGATATGGAACAGACTTAACATGCAGTGTATTATGTTTGGAAGATGAGGAATGAAATATAGCATGGAGGAACCTGCCGAGAAGTCAAGGATTTGATCGCTTTGATTAAACAGGAAGTGATTTGGCGAGGAGGAGCACTTAGTAGAAAGGTAAGATTAACAGGGAAGTTGTTTTTAAATAGAATGGGTATACCAGATTGAGATTATTGTATAGAAGCAGGGAACGTTGTAAATTTTGCAAGTGTTGAGATGTTAATATATATTAACCTTTCACCAAAAAAATGTTATAAGCAATAAGCTAATTTTTATTACTTATATTTTGTATACAGTTTCAGTACCACTTAATTCATGAAGAGGTTCAGTTTTTATTATCAAACATGCTGAAGTCAAAAAGTGTTTAATGAAATAATTTTAAATAATAATTGTTGTTATCAAACAGACCAGAAGCTAATAGCCTTTAATTACTCTTTACACGTAAATTTGGACCAGAATATGCATTTCTTTCCCTACTCACCTAATCCTGATTGTCTTCAAAATGAGTATAAAAACCATTAGGGTTTGTTTATTTGCATGTTTTTTGTTTCCTTTTTTCTTTTTTCTTTTTTATGGTATGAAAAAAAAGGAAAGAGATTTTATCGTATTTGTGAAGTCGTTCAGTATCAATACCTTATAAAAAAAAATTGGACTTTCAATAACCCAAAGATTTTGCGAATTGTGCAAGCAAGCACATTTCAAAATGTAAATATAAACAACGGTTGACAATTGACATTAACATGGACCATAATTCGTAAATTTTATCGAGAACTAGAGGCTATATGTGAAGTAGCTAAGATATCAACGGATTGGTAATTCTAACACTTTCATTGTGTTTTTAACCTAAGTAACAAACTCACAAGCTGGTATAAGCGATTGAATGTGATAGACTTATCTTAAGGTATGTTTTGACAATTCCAACTTCAATCATTCCAAGAAAACATAAAAGAGTCAAGAAGATGTGGTTATGATGATCTTATCCTTCAGAGAGCTAAAATCAGATAAGAGAGTTCTTGAATATTCTTCTGTTCTTCACAAACAAGTCTTATGGTTCACGTATTTACCATCAACCAGCTAATCCTTTTATATATATGCATCATAATCTAGCTGTACAAACTAAGCTTTCTATTTACAAAGATATAACTAACACAAACTAAACTAATCCTTGCCCTTTATTTCTAATTAGCTCATCTAATCGAACGCCTAAAGTTTGTTGTAGCCTTGATGGAATGGATTGATGACCTAGATTTTGCATGATTCTAGAAGCTTATTACACAACTCTGCTTGAGTAAACACTACTGATGAGAAACTGTTGATGCACAAGACGGGTCATATTCCATGCATGCAAATAGACTCCTGCAATCTGCCTGATCTTTCTGTGAATCAGAATGTGATTCATTCAACATGCCCTGCTCAAGATGAGCACTCCACAAGCTCATCTTATATAGAAAATAACTGAAAGATCGGCTGGACAAAGACTTAGTAAAGATATCTGTCAGGTTCTGTGAAGTAGAGACATGTTTAGGCAGTAGAAACCCTAATTTGTATTGGTCCCTTACGACATGACAGTCAATCTCAATATGTTTGATCCTCTCATGAAAAACATGATTAGATGTTATGTCCAAGGCTGCCTTGCTGTCATACCAAAAGGGAATTAGAAGAGCAGGAGAAATGGAGAAGTCCTTCAAAATATATGTGATCCACTAAAGTTCACGGGCTGTTTTTGCCATGGCCCTATATTCAGCTTCTGCTGATGAACAAGAAATGGTGGATTGTTTCTTCGCTTTCCAAGCAATCAAACTACCCCCTAAAAAGATACGGTAACCTGTAATGGAATGGGGAGTAGTTCTACAACCCCCCCAATCTGCATCACTATAAGCTGTGAGATTAAAAAACTCCGGATGAGCATAGAAGAGACCCCTGGAAATGCAACCTGAGAGATACTTCAACACATGAATGATGCATTCAAATGTGAATCATGTGGCTTATGAACAAATCGACTCAATTGTTGCATTGCATAAGTCACATCTGGTCTAGTATGAGATAAAGGATCTTTCCAGCCAACCTTCTATACTTCT